TTTTCTATACTTTAACATGAAGTTTATACTTTTCTTATGAAAATTATGGATATTTATTAAGGATATATGATTATGGAACCTAGGGAACTACCCTAGGATACATGTTTTTACTTAAAAAAATCCATCGCCTAGGCGACAAGGCGCCCCCCTGTCTCCTAGCCTCACCTTAGTGCCTTGAAAACTATGATTGATCCTCTTGTGAGCCACCTCTCAACAAAAGGCTCTATATTAGGTTGGGTTGAGTTCTCAAAAATAACCTTAAGAGAACTCCACAGCAACAATGCCATTTATGTCAAGGATTTTAGACAAGTAAAGAAACCCTTACAAAGGGAATCCATATACAACAATCCTGACAATAGGATAAAAAAGAAAGCATCCTCACAGAAATTTCACTATAAGAAAAGAATTATCACTCTTCATCCCTAGCAACCCAGCGAAAACAGTAGAAAGACTTATGTGCTGATTTCGGCCAAGCTTCTTGTGAAAGGAAGAGTAGAAAGTTGGGGATTTCAGCAAGAGACAGAGGAAAGGGAAGAAAAGAGAAGAAGGTCGACTAGGATTGATTTACATAACCCTAGCYGCCAGCCCCTCATTCTATTTATAATTAACTTAAGTATGAGATATTACAAAGATGCCCTTAGTAGGGCGRCAACTCAAACTAAGTAATTACAGCTCTTTAAAAAATAAAAAACTAATGGGCCCAAGGCCCAACAACATCTTAATTTAAAAGAAAATAAACTAAACACAAGCCGACCCACTCAACAAAAACCAAAGTTTTATGAAAAATAGAAAGAAATGGAGATATTGGGATATGAAGTAGGGCTTACCAAATGCACATCACAAGGGAACTATACACAATAATTTTCCCAGGTTCCAATCCTAACACAACATCCCCTGATGAATTGATGGGATAATGGAGGACTATATTTAGTAGCAAGGCTGTGATTGAATTGTGGAGCAGAAAATAAAAGTTTCACAATTTCCATGATTTGGAGAAAAATGGAATGACTATCCCTCTCCCCCCCCCCCAAGGCGGCAATGCCATTATATTATTATCCATGAAACCAATGGAAAAAGTAGCATAAAATCCACTAATACATTCTGCATCGCCTGTTTTTCAGAGCTAAGCAATGGAACATGGAAAGCATCAGATCCAGAAATTCTTTTCCATCTTGCTTATCTATTTCCACCATAATCCAACAAAGATTAAGAGTGCCACTACAACAGATCCAGCATCCCATCTACTAGTGCTTTAGATCTTTCTCGATGCTTGAACACCTAAGTCTTATGTTGATCCTTGGGAAATACTATTAACCACTTCCAAGGAAGATTCAAAGATGTCTTCTTATTTACTCTCCCAATTACCCTCAATAGTACTTGTGCAGCACTGAAGTACCTTCAGAACCTTAAATCTAAATTGTAAGTAGACCTGTTTTAAGCTCCATGCAGCATCATAAACATCTTAAGAACATTACAGAAACCAGTTACATCAATTCTTCACAGACGATTGAAACAGTACAGAGATGTAAATAAATTCATGAATTAACAAATACCTCATTGGCTTCATCTAAAGCACTGGTAGATTCATCCAAGAGTACCAATTTTGGTTTTGAAAGCAAAAGGCGTGCAAATGCAAGGCGTTGCTGCTCACCAAGAGAAAGGACACTAGACCATTCATATGTTTTATCTAGACCATTAAGCCGAGATAAAATATAACCCAAGCGTACATCCTCCAAAACCCGAATGAGATCGTCTAGAGTGGGCTTCTTAGGCTTTTCTCCCGCATATTCTGTCTGTGGTGCTTGCATCAAGAAAGGCAATGAGCCTGTGCATCAAATTTAATACTGCTTTTAGAATCTGATAAAAAATTCTTCTCAATAATCCATATCAATCTTTTGAACATGATCTGGAACTAACAAACAGAAAATGCACAATAGAAAAATAATGGCTCAAAAGGTCAGGACAATAAATATCCATAATGATAATGAGAAAAAGATAAAGAATGGAAAGAATTATACAATGAAACACAGAACTAAACCATCTAATTAATGAATGTCAGATAGGATAGGATAATGATGCATATAATCTAGTGTCACCAGATGTATAAAAAAACCATCAAACAGAAATCCAGTTTGTTTGCTTTTTTTTTTTGGTGGGGGGGTGATTTGAACAGAGATGGAGAGGGAAGGCCCATTAGTTGGATATGTAAAGGCCATTATTGAATGTCGGTCCAAACTATCTGGAGTCTTGGGAGAGGTAGAATGGACAGGATTTCAATGCTCTTGAACATTGAAGACATGGATAGAAATTCTTGGGTTACTAAGGATCTTGTATACAATAATTCTTAGGTGCTTTTAAGAATTAAAGCATTCAATCTACCTATAAAAAAAAATCTGTTACCAGGTTGTAGGGAGGGGAGGGAGTGAGATTCATGGATGACCGCATCAGAGACACTCTACATCCGTCCAGGAAATTTCAACATGTAAGAAAATCCATACCTGTGGATTTAGCATTCACTGAAAATGGAAGTGGATCTTCACCCCATGTCGGATAAAGCAGTTGCTGTCGAAGTGTCCCTAAGACCATATATGGTCTTTGTGGAAGGAAAAATGCATCGTGATTTTTTCCATATCTAAACATGCCAAGTTCTACATCTGTCCTTTCTGTGTTGATTACTTCAGAAGGTGTCATATCTGGAGAAATGGGTGATTGAGTTTCCTTTGCATCTTCAATATAGAATGTAATTTTCCCCTTGCCAGTACTCCAAAGACCAGCCATAGCTCTTAACAATGAAGTCTTGCCACTACCACTAGGGCCTGTTACCTATCGATACAGTTATCCACTGTTAACATTTTCACCTCAAAGGGCATCATTGCTAATATTTTCATATCAAAAGGACATAAGGTCAAGATGAAAAGTAAAAATACACTAACCAATAAGTGATCTTTCTTTTTAACTACCAATGATAAGTCTCTAACAAGAACAGTTTTACTTTTTGGTGTTTGTAGTGTCAAATTCTCAATGTCCAGCAACTTGTCGCACTTGTCCAGAAGCATAGATCCATTTGACTGCAGTAAGGACAAAGTTTCTACATCCTTGTAAACAACACTAATCTCTTCACTGGAATAAGAGATATCCTGATTGCTGCTATTGTCAAGAACATCATCAAACTCACCTGTAAAATGTTAAAGGCATGGAGATTCAATTAAAAATATCCACCAGACCCATTGTAAATCAAAAATAAAACTCCAAGATTAGCAGCCACAGGAAAAGATTATATTAAACAAAAATATTAGAATAAGACTCAAAAGAACATAATTAACAAATAAAACAGAAGAAAGGAAAAGACCAAACAAGATGATAAGCAAAAGTTTTGCATTGAACTTTTAACAACCATTAATATCAACAGCACATAAATCTAGGACAGAGTTGAATTTTAAAAAGAAATACTCAACAAATTCAAAATGCATAGTATGTTACACATATCAATCCTCCACATCCTCTAAAACTTCAACAGCGCTACTTTCTTCCTTAAAATTCTCCTCTTTCTGTTTCCCCACTCCAAGAAAGCTCTTCTTGTAAATTCCTCACTGCCCACAAAGAAAAGCCTGAACATTTTACTAACATGAGCCTCTTTTTCTGCAAGTTTATTCAGGTCCAACTTTTTCTCTACCGATCTCATTTGATCAGACAACTCCACTCCAACCTTTAGCTTTCTCGAATCTTGTGGTCTCTTCAAAGGCCAAACTGTTATGTCCTCAATTTTGATGGACTGGGAGCAGGTTATTAAAGTATTCCCAATCATAGCTTAAGAAAAAAAAAGGGCCTTTCTTTCCAGGTTGATCTTCTAAGCCCAGTCCTATGGGTGGGCAGAAATAATTTGTTTAGGAAAGAAAGGGGCATGTAATCCATTTTAGTGAACAACAGGCCCTAAAAGAGTTAAACTTATATTAATTAAGAATCTTATGAGGTGTCCCATTTATTTATAAAGGGGATGACACTTGTCCTATCATAACAAGAGGGTTATTTTCCCTCCTCTAGCCACATTAAGTGGGGTGACACACGTCACCCTAGGAGGAAGTTATTTTCCCTCCTCTAACCACTATAAGTGGGGTGGCACATGTCACCCAAGGAAGGAAGAGTTTTCTTTTCCCTCCATAAACCATTCTAAGTGGGGTGTGACTTGGCACATGTTAGAATCGACCATACAAGGGTATTTAGGTCTTTTGTCTATCTAATTGAGATTGAATAATCTGTTTTGTCTAAGTTTAAGTTATGTGTCCCATACTTAATGAGGGTCAATATTGACTTTTGTAATTCAATATATACAGTATAAATACATAGTGGGTTGGTTGGGTGAGTGAAGTGTTTTCCCTCCTAGACCGAACCCTTCTTCTCTTCTTCCTCTCTTTCTCCTTCTATTCTTCTTACATACTTCGGACCTAGAACTGAACTAGGGTTAATCAACCTATTCACAGCACCCTAAGAAGAGAGGGGCAGGGAAATACCTAACCACCTCCCTCCTCAATATAAACCCCTCTCCCTATAGGTAGAGGTGGCAATTGAATAGGTTTGGGTTGAACTTCAACCCAACCCATTTGACCCACCAACCCATTAATGACCCATTTAAATAAAATTAAATGGGTTGGGTTCAACCCAAACCCACCATGACCCAATTCAACCCGCCCAACCCATTAACCTTGTAGCAACTTAGTTTATGACACTTAAAACTAAAAACCAACTCCCTTTTGACAAATAAGTTGGTCATGGCTTAGTGGTAATAGTGGTCGTCTCTAACATAAGTGATGAAGGTTCAAATCACATTACATGCATATTATTTTTACAAGGAGAATAAAAAGCAATTAATCACTTGGAGCCATTTGACTATGTTCGGATTTTGGGTTCGACTGAACCGCTTGGGTTCAAATCGGCCAAACCAACTTGAACCATCTAATTGTGTTCATATTCAAGCTAATTGCATCAAGAGTGGCCAAACCATTTGGGTTCGGACCGGATTGGCAAAGCCAAATCAGATCGAACCAAGTCAACCATGTCCATTTAGATCTAAACAATATTGGTTTGAGCCAAACTGGTCCAAATCGGGTACCATCTAGACCCAGGTCAAGTTGGTTTGGTCCAAACTGATCCAAACTAGGGTCAAGTCGGGATGCCCGAACAATCTGATCTAGAGTTGGATCTGGTTGACCCAAATCAGGTCAGTCCAGATTGTTGGGTTGTTTGGGTTGATTCAAGTTGGGCACAGTTGGGCCATTTGTGCCAGAATCAAATCGCACTAGTCATTGAATGAATTGATTGGGTCTAGGTTAATTCCAGCCAGGTATGAGTGAACCAACTTATCCAAACCAGAGTAAGCCATTGAACCATTTGATTGAATTTGGATTCATGTTGATTTGGGTGAACTGTGTTGGCTCAAACCGAAACTAATTTTAGTCAATAATTAATTAGAAATTAATGCATTAATTATAAATCGTTTCACTCAAATGAAGAAAATTAAAGAAAAATGGCCAAGGAATTCACATTTGTACCATTAGTGGTTAACCCAATGGATATCCACAACCTGACCTTACAGTTGAAAAACAGTCCACTTGATGTATGGAACTGTTTGAGATTAGATGCAAACCAGAAAATAAACAAACAAGAGAGGAAGAGAAGAGAGAGCTGGCGGCAATGAGTGTTAGAGAGTAAGAGGTTCGAACATAACCTCCCTCTAACACTCTAAACATCTTATTAAGAAGTTAATCTTTGACAAATTACAGAGAGGCCCTTGAGTGGGCAGGAAAATACAAAAAACAGAACATTACAGAGTATGGGCCCAGAATAAGGCCCATAACAGAGAGAAACATAACATAACATGAAATGACAGTCTATGGGCCATTCGGCCCATCTCCTCTACACTTACCAACCCATTTAAAGTGTTCCAATGGGTGATTCAACCCATTTTGAACTCGCTAAGTGGGCAGGTTGAACAGGTTATATAATGGGTGGGTTCGGTGGGTTCAACGGATTGAGTGAGAAATTGCCACCCCTACCTATAGGAGAGAGAGCTAATGCCATTCTATTGGCTAATACTACTCTGTTTCTAGGATTTCCAGCACCAAAAGACAAATGAGAAGAGAAAAAAGAAGATTGGTGAAGGGGACTCAAAGTTCGTTGTTTCATGGACAACAAACAGGTGCAATGTGCCTTCCAATTTTAATTGGACAAGGACTACAAACGGGATGGCCAACACACTAGATAAACAAGGGGTTTATAGGTATCCATTGTTTTGGGCTATATTGTAATCCTTTTGGATAAGCTTCTCAGTTCTCTATTTCTTGGGTGAAAGGTCACCTTCTATCATGTACCTTAATCTGTCTTTTTAATAAAATCCTTAAATCAATTTCTTCTTCTAATCAAGAGAGAGAGAAAGAAGAAGAAGATTGGTGTGAAGATCATAAAAAATGTAAGAAGAGGAAGGTAGGGAATCTTGTTTTCCTCCTACACCTCTTCACTATGATATTCCAACAGCGTCTCTTATGAGATGGAGGACCATATTCCTCTACTCCTCTCACCCTTTCTTTCTTCCCTTATTTATTTCTTTCTTTTCTTCCTTGTCTAATATTGAAATACATATAAGAAAATAACCATCTACGGCCTTGTCTATGAAACTTGGTTGATTATGGTTCCTTACTCCATCTTAACCCATAAAATCACTATTTTATATGTAAGAAGACAACCATCTATAGGCTAGCTTAGAAAACTTGGCTGATTATGGTTCCCCACATCATGATAATACACAAAATCATTATTTAAGGCCATCTATAACCTTATTCATGAAATATGGCTAATTACGATCTCCATTTGCTTGTTACACAGAGAAAAAAAAATATTTATTATATTTGTTGGTTTTCTCTCAAATAAAGAGGGAAAATACACCAAAAATTTCAGAGGAAAATTCTATAGTGAAATTCTACTTAGTTTATTCTGCTCATTTGTACTTCTAAACCAGAATCAATAGGTTTTTCTGCCCCTAGTAGAAATATAATTAAAGGAATATCTACAAGATATCCTGAATGGAGCTTACCCAAATATCAAAAACCCTAGTTATTAGTCTAATTGGGTGAATTATGTTATGTTTGAAATTATAATAAAAACTTTCCATTAACACAACCCAACACCTTTTCTTAGAATCCACCAACTCACCTACTTGGACACTTTGAGCTGCCCCCTCAAATACCTAATCCGAAGCATAATGCCCAGCTGTTAGAAGAGCATGCTTGCTAGACTTTGGCTTAAGTCTAGCTTTGCTTTCAACTTCTTTTATTCTATACAACCTCTTGAATTTATTGCTGGGACCCACCCCAACAATACCTTCCTTTAAACAAGAAAAAAACTTGGTAACATGATTTTTTTGGTAATTGTTGAGAAAGTTTAGGCAAGGGTGTTTTAGTCTTTATCTCTTCCCTTTGTACTCTTTTTGTATTTGGGTGCCCAAGTAGGGACCTCTTTGTAATTTCTTGTTGCAAAATATAAAGTGCCTTTTGAGGGTGTGAACAGTAACAAGAACACACCACTCAACACATTCCTCTACTTCTCCTTTCTCTCTTTCTTTCTTTCTTTCTCATACAAACCCTAGATTTACAATACTAGTTTCCAACTTGGTATCAGAGCAAGCAAAGGCACTTGGGAATACCTTTCTTGCTGACTCTCTTGCACGAGATGAATTGCTGATGTCAAACCGCCGTCGGGTGACGTCAGAAGTCCATACAAGTGTCAGCGGCAATACATGAATCATATATGGTTTGATTCGCCCTGATTTTAGAAGATCTTTGGTATGACTCTTGTCTTTGTTTGAAGCTTCTATGATTTTTAATAGATTTTTCAAGCAGAAAATCGCAAAAAATCCAGATCTGATGTCAATCCTTATACACTTTGTTTAATCAGTTTTTCTGCTGCAAAACCTAGACCATTCAGGTCGTTTTTTACCTTGGGAGCAACGGAAGTGGTCCTGTATTTTTCTAAGCCCTAGACAATTTTTGGGAGATTTTCTTCTCCCTCTATTTTGGTGCCAACTTAGTTTTTTGCCCTTTTTTTGCCTCTTAACCGTGTGGTGACCAAGTTTCTTGGGTCCTTAGCTGCGGTTAAGTATTTGGGGCCCCTTTTGGTTGATGCACA